CGTCGCCATTACACTCTCTTCTCTCCACTCTGGTTCAACCTGGCTACACCACTCCCCACAAGCTTTCATTTCTTCCTCACACCATCTCCTCCATGTCACCTTCTACTCGGACGCCCGACTGGTCGTTTCCCCTTCGGATTCCACTCGACGACTTGGCGCTTGATATCCTCAAACCGTCTTCTCAGTGTATCTCCAATCCAATCCAGTCCAATCCATTCCCACTTTCTCCTGCATATTTGTTGGGCGATGGGTTCGTGTTTAGTTCGTCGCCAGTCAGCCAGAGTCCCTTGTTGCTTATTCTTATTATTCTGGCCATCTGATCTTCAGTGTCAGTGAGTGTCGAGTGAGTGTAGGTGTCAGCTGTTGATGCGATGTATGTCTGTAGTTTGTTGGAAATGCTTTTCATGACGCGCCAAGTTTCTCAAGCATCACATAGAAGCACTGACTTACTTGACTGAGTTAGTGTTGAAAATGCGGATGTTGTTCACGCTTTATGCTGAGTGGAGTTCAGTAGATCTCTACACTGTTTCGGATTAATGAAAACCTGTCTCACTTCTCCAATCCTGGCTTCGACATCCTCATCTGTATCGCCACCAGTGGTTGAAACGATGCTGCCTAGGTAGGTAGGTGAAGGAGACAACTTGCTTTAGGTTTCTCCCATTCATCGTCATTGGTGCTTGTTGTTTTTGTTGTTGTTGGTTGGTTATCTTCATTATCTCTGTCTTCTCTACGTTTAATTGGAGTCCCGTTTTCGCTGCCTCTTCTGTCAACTTGTTGGTTTTTACCTGTAGATCCTCGAGTTTGTGCGACATTAGACATAAATCATCGTCGGTGGTGAAATCCAAATCTTCTTGTGGGGTCTTTTCATCGGTCCGGCCAGCGTATGCCCCTCTTCTCACAGCTCCTCACAGTTTGTTGCATGATCCAGTCCAGTTGAGTGGACCACAATCAGGAAGGTGATTAGTGATAGTAGGAGGCAACCTTGTCTCTCGCCTTTCTGTCTTCACTTCAAAGGCATCACTGAGCTTTCCGATGTGAATCACTTGGCATCACTTAGCATCGTGTGGCAAATAGCTGTTGTTGGATGAGGTTGATAAGGGTTTTGTGGCACTGAAAGCGTAGTGTTGAAGTGGCTGCCTGCCATATTGCTTCTCGGCCGACGCTGTCGAAGGAAAGCCTCTTCAAAATCGATGGAGTTCAGGTAAGGCTCCAGTTGACTGTCATTCCATGCTCTGTTCAATGATGATGCGCAGCGTAGCGTTGCGTTGCGATTTAACGTGCACACGATTTGTTCTCCCTGAAGCCAGCCAGTTAGCCAGCTAGCCTGTTCCGATCGTAATTTTGAATGCAGAGCATCTTTTAGTCTCTCCAGAATGATGTGGCCTAATATTTTGTTTGGGGTGGGCAGGAGTGTAGCATGATTCCGCGCCGGTTCTCGCAAACACTTAGGTCTCCGTTCTTCGAGAATTCGACAAGGTAGCCCTTCTTCCAATCAATGGGCAGGTACCTTTCCTTCCTTTCTTCGAAACCTTCTACAATAATGGTGTGAGCATATCCGCTGTTGTCTCTGAGTCTGTTTTCAGTACTTCTGATGGAATTCCATCTAGTCTTGCTGCTTCCCCGGATTTCAGCAGTTTTATGGCTTTCAGGATTTGTGCGTTTGTCGGACGGCTTGTGTTCACTGGTAGTTCTGTGACTGTGCTGCTGGTTATATTTCTGGATGAGTTGCAGGTGGTGGTGTTGGTGGTCGACTCAAGAGTTTTCTGAAGTGATAGAGTGAAAGTATTAAAAGCAAACTCAGTTTGCTGGAGAGAAAGACAGGAGAAAGATTGAAAACCAAATGTTTGTAAATCTGTCAGACCACAGCTATCTCAAAGCGTCAAAATGAAAATCTTTGTTCATCGAATCTATACCAAATGCATGCAATAGAAATGATTGTACACCTGTGTTAGATAATATGGAAGATTCTACTACTACGCTTGTCAAAAAGAAGGAGAGAAAATTAAGAATATATAGACTCTGTCTCAAGGTTGTGGAGTTACCCGATATGAATATGGACAATAAATTGAGTCCGAAGTGTCATCCAGTAAATGATACTGTTTCATCGTGTGATATTTCGAATAAACAAACTAAAATGAAATTACAATCTACCACACTGCCTACGTTTTACTCCTATATTATGTCAAATGTTGTTGATACTGCTACAGCACTTGACCATTATTAGTATGTCATCGTTACTTTTTGTCCAACATTACGCTCTTTATGACTACATACCCTATTTCACCGAACCAATAAGTTCATCGACTGACGTTTCAATGACTCAGTCATATAAACGTATCAGATTTTGAAATACAATAATAATCATCCCAAAGTTCATGAACAATCCTTTAGAAAAATACCTATACATAGTGTTCAAAACCAGTGATTTGCCACTCAACTTTATCGAAAAATATTTATTGACAGAACAGAGAGCGGTATAATGACATGAAAGGAATAAGTGTGTAACACTGCCCTACCTCAACAATGTTTCAAAGGTGGTCAACCCATTACTCCATCCTTGCATGATTGTAGTAGCATACAAACCAATGAAGTTATTACAGAGCATGTTTTGCACGCCAAAGGATCCCTTGTCAATGGAATACAAAATAACTGCAAAGATTGTGCACATCATCATTCCGGATTTCTCAATGAATTCAGAAACACTTTTCAGCAGTATAGAGGTATAACTCATCCTACTTCATTTCAATACACCAAAAGAAACACGATAAGAATTTGAGTGGGAGACTATGGAAATCCTACAAAAGGATGTTTTGAAAGCTACAAGAGAGTTTCTAGAAGCCTGGCATTAAATTAACAGCTGAGTCTACAGATGTATGGATACACACTCAATCCACATTCTACATGGAGAGAAAGTCGCCACTAATTAGTCATGTAAATCAACAATCAAGGTCAGTGTGTCAGCAATAAATACCATAACTTCACTCTGAAAAGTATTTTCTTCAGGCTCGACTCAATGAAATTTAAGGTTAATAAGGTAAATATCGAATAAAAATCACTTCCACTGGACAACACTATGTGAACATTCATTTATCATTTCATCCAGCTTCATATTTTGAAGTTACAGCTGGTGATGTCAACCAACATAATGGTGAAAAAATTCAAGACGAAATGTCAAAGCAAACAGTTCACCGGGAGATTCACATGTTCAAAACATAAAATTTTCAACAACAAATTTGATTTCAGTAAAAATTAAGTGCAATCTCAAATATATTTTAGACATTCAGAAATCATACTAATTAGATTCAAGGTAGATAAAGCCACTTGTTGTACACTCCGCATAACTTTATTCAACTTTCTTGAGGGATAATATATGTAACAATATCACGTTAATATTGAAACTAATTTTGTTTATCTACATTGGACCGGGAAAAAATTAATAAATTACACCTTTTCGAATCCTGTGGTGTTTGTTTTTTGGTTTACCTGTTGTTGTCGTCTGTTCAACAGGCGCGTGTTAGATTGGATAACACCTGTAACATTGTGGTCAAAAACAAGTGATATCCTCTGGTGTTATGCAATTCACGTTGGAACGCGCTTGGAATTATTACCATTATGCAGACAGTAACCATAAAAGTGGTCACTGACAGAACACTAAACAAAATAAAAACCAAGTTCTCCATCTGTCTGCCTACCAAAATAGTCATTAAAAAGGTAAGATCAATAGATATCACCGTCGATTGAACACTCAAGTCTCCAACACATTCATATTGTAATACACACACACACACACATCTATCTACCTAACAAAATTCTGACTGAGAACACCATTCCTCACCAAACCACTTCATTCACGCATTCAACAGTGTGCCAAAATTATTCACATCTCTATAAACCTGGTCAGCCCAACCAAACATAACAACTACATAAAGACAACATCTAAGACAAATATAATTTATTTACTTCGACTGAGTTCAGTAACATATTATTACACTGAGAGAACACAAAGATTGTATGAATCGTTTGACAAGATAGGATGATGCAGAATATGGTGGTCATGTAGAAGTTGGTTATTGGTTTAGTAGTTGGAGGATCAGTAGCTTGATGAATAGCCACCTGATGACCCCTTACCTCCCTTACCGCCTTTCCCTTTACTGCCACCCTTGTGGGTCTTGCCACCCTTCTTACCCTTCCTTCCATTGGAGACGTCTGATTTCCCACCATTGTAGAAGTCAGGTTTGCCACCATTGTAGAAGTCGGGTTTGCCACCATTGTAGAAGTCGGGCTTGCCACCATTGTAGAAGTCGGGTTTGCCACCATATGGATCTGGCTCATAGTAGCCCCCGTTGCCGTTGCCATTACCATTGCCATTGCCGTAACCGTAACCGTTGCCATTGCCGTTACCGTAACCGTAACCGTTGCCATTGCCATTGCCATTACCATTGCCGTTACCGTAACCGTAACCATTGCCATTGCCATTGCCATTACCGTTACCGTAACCGTAACCATTCCCATTGCCGTTACCATAATCATTATTGTAGCCATCTGACCCACCACCGTTACCGTTCCATGTGTTGTCATATCCACCGGGAACCGGATAGATGTCGTAGTAGTTGTAGTCTGGTGGTGGGGAGTAGCTGTCACCTGGGTATTGACCGTAGTCGAATCCGTTGCCATTGTATATTGTTGGGTATCCACTGCCTCCATTGCCTCCATTACCATTACCACCTCCATTGTAGTCGGAGTAGTAATCAGAGGGTGGTTCGTAGCTTGGCAACCTGCCAGCATCTGTGGAGTTGGTGGCGACGAGGAATACGAAGATGACAGTGAGCAACAACTTCATTATTCTGTTTGAAAGTTGGTTTGGTTTGATTTGATGGACGACTGACTGCTGCTCACCACTTTTATACTATTCTTCAACATGAATCGGTGTAGTGATGACGTGTGAAGTGCACTGTCAGTCGGTGCACATCGTGCTGTGCACTCTCTAACTGAATTGATTTTCAGCTAATTAATGGATTGATGTTGATGTACGCTGAGTGAACTCCATTATTTTGAAGTGTACTCGTGAACTGTTTATTCCTACCAATGTTATTATTATTATTATTATTATTTGACCGATGTGTTGTTTTCATAGTTGAATTTCGTTGTAATCGATTATTGATGATGTGGTGTGGATGATTTGCACTGTTATTGACAGTTGTATTCATTTGATGACGCATATTTGTGGTATGGTTTGTAGTTTGTTGTCGCCTTTGTTGGTCATTCAGCGATTGAATTCGACATAATCCCTGCTACCATTCTGATGTGAATGGAGGCAGTAATTTCAATGTCGTTCCAAGGTTTCACAACTAACCAGTGTAGGAGATTATGGTGGGTAAAGTTTCCGATTCACCTTTGATCGGGAGTCTCTGAATATTCCAATGACCGCTTCCATGTGACTTGAGAAAAGAGCCAATAACGATCAGTGCTAACCACTTCACGTCTATAATCTCTTCTTGAATGTGGAGTGCAGATTGTGGTTTGTGTTCATGTGAGTGAAGAAGTTGGCTTATCGTTGGGACGTCCTACGATATCTGTTGTTATTGTTATGTGATTGACATGTGAGCAGTGGACTGCGTATAGATGAGGCAGATGTTGGTATTAATCCAATCCGTTTTATGCATGTACTGTCAATTTCGGTATTACACCAGTTTGAGATCTGAACCTGCGATAGCATTCAACGTCTACTGGTATGTATCTCATTGTCAGTGTAGGCAGTGGCCTACAAATATGTATACTCATTTCGGAAGTTGATACCAACTCAAATCACACACACACACGCACCGATAAGCATGAGTGTACGTGTTCAGTGCCACTGATTTCAAGACCTCTGAAGTGTTGCATCTTGCAGGTGGTGTCAATTTCCCCAATAGTATGCAAACTTACTCCGACTACAGAGATGAATTGCATGGTAAAATGAAACTCACTTATCTCGCGTTTGCAACAGTCTGTTGTTTCAATCAGTTTTGAAGTGCGCATCTTCGTGTCGTTGGGTTTAGTTCTGTCGACTTGAAGAATCTTTGTCCACTTGATGACTCTATTCTGTTGATATGTGTATTGAGACGGCATGAGATTATCTAGTGGCTTCTGAATATGTTTCCATTCACCTGCTAACGAGTGTTCCGTGTAGGTGGACATTCTGAGGCCTGGTGAAACTTCAGGTCATGACGGTGCATGCACGTGGTGATACCTTTGCAGATGATGTTTCGGAATCATTGAGGGAAGCGTTTTCATGAATGATTTGAGTCTCGCTAGTCTCGATTTAAACCTGGATTTCTGCATGAACTACCGAGATGTAATGTAGTCTATATGCTGACAGTCTTCAGTGTTCAGGGCTTCTCCATCATCTATTTCGGTATACTTCATTTCTGATCAACGACATACTTTCACGAATGAATGTGTTTCATGTTTTGGTGAAACATAATGGGGCTGAATCTGACGGAGGAGGACTCCCCTTTGGAGGTGACAGTTACTTTTCTAGATTGGTGAACTGTTAGGTACTTAGTGAGAATCCTAAAATTTCGTGTTGTTACAAAACCATTCAACGTGTGGAAGTGTGGTGATTGATACGGTTTGAGTATTATGTGAAAAGCATACTGTTTGTTTTCTGTGGTGTGATCCAAATGCTATTTGTCATTTTAATCTGATTATGACTAGTCAAAACTTCGGATTCTCGTCTACACACACCTTGGTTCGTGTGTTGTCAGTGAATACTTTTCCTTTGTGTTCGTTATCAAGAGTGAATTTTGATTCTGAGGTTTAGGGCTGCCATCAATTTGGTGAACAAGACTGTAATCTGGAATTGCCTGCTAAGGAAACACATCCGTTTAAGGACTGTAGACACCCTGAGATCCATAAACTTCAACACCTCAGGTAGATCGAGGGCTTACAGCCTTCCAAACCAACAGTGAGGTTAGGTGAAGCTGACTAATTTCACCACTTCTCCCCGATTCAGTTGACGACGACATTCTGGAGATAGCCCTGAAGGAAGTGAGTGGTGGTGATGTGGACTTGCTAACAGGTGGAAGGACTTTCAATCTCGAGCATTAGGATGATACTGTGACAACATGCAAACTAGTGAAATGCCACTCACTTGATTGGTGACCAGTTTTCGTAGGCATGATATATGCTTCATACCGTCAAAGTGCAGCGTTCTTCGACGAGATTGACATGAGCATGCAGCTGTACTCAACCTTGTGGTGAATCGCTGGAGGTTGTCGAAACGTTCATGTATGTGGTTAGTTGTGTGAGTGGTGTTGAAAGTGTGACTGACGACATTTTTGTGTATGGAAAGCCCGAGTAGCACATGACAATTTAGGTCATGACTAGCATCTTCGTGAAGTTGACCTTGTTGTTAGTGGTCATATGTACGACGGGTGTGTGTGGAAACCTCTATTTGTCACCCATGATACTGAGCCCGTTGAAGCCGAGGGTGTCGACGGTTCCCCATTTCCGCTCACTGTTGTCTCTGTAGGACTGCTCAGATTCAGGGGAAACACCGTGTAAGTAATTGTGAGTTGAGGCAGCGCGTGTTTCTGTGTGAACTAGATCACCAATGATTGAGTGTGGTCATCTTGAAGCACAGAAATCGATGGCTTGTATTTATGTTATGGATATTGTCCCGGTGGACATCATACTGCTGTTTACTGTCTACCAGATATGTGAATGGTTGAAGGAAGAGGAGAGATGGCCAGTGTAATATATAGCAGCGTAGGTAGAAGGAGAGTTGTATAGTTTAGTTATTTGTGGGTGTCTCCTGAGTCTCTTGATGGATTCCGAACCGTTATGCAACGCATTGACTTGAGACGATGACAAACTTGAGTTGAAATCGAAGTTGGTGGCGAACATGCTTCAGTTTTCTCGTTTCTTCTGAAAGTGAGTAGTGAATCGAGAGTAGTAAATGTTTCTTAGTACTTTTCTTAGAGTGTATTTTACCAACGCACTTCAATTTATGTTCTCATTGTATGTCACACTGCCTGTGTCTTCGTCACGCATCGTTTTTATTTTGAATCTATTTTCTATTCGTGTTTCTCTGCCTCAAGTTTGCTTTGACGAGTAAATCAACTGTTGGCCACGTATTAATACTGTTTTTCCGAGACATTATTACAAGACCATATACTGTTGTTTTTCTGATCTATGTACTTTGTCCTCTGGGAGCATTGTTATACTAATAGCACGAGGAGTTTTCTTGTGGCATCTGCTTTCATATTTCCACTGAAATGGTAGACGTAAGTTTGGTAACGGTCGATTTTCTTATTCTTTTGAACAGACTGTTTCGGACATTAAAGGCATTCTGCCTAATGAATGAAATTCAATGCTGCTATGAAATCAGTGTTCCCAGAATATGATCATGTAGTGTTAGTCTACAGGAGTTCTACCAGCTGCACATATCCTTAGTACATGACTGTGTAAATGAACATTCAGCAAATAACTATAATCATACAGGTAAATTTTTGTAAGCTCATTGCTTACATTAGAAACGTGGAATGAAGTACTACAGAATGTAGATCGATTGAAATGATAAGTTGGTCGTAATAAGGATGAAAACCTTAAAACCATGCTAAAAATGATACTGAAATTAGTAATTTCGGTTTCAAATATAGGGTTTTCAGCAAAGGAGGAAATAAAGTTATTAAGGTAGTTGGAGGAGACATTACTCTTTTTAGAAGAAAAAGTTACTGGGTAACAGTTTAGTGAGGAGTTCACTACCATTTCCCTTTAAAACACAAAATTGTTCACATCCGTTTGATGGAAATGAAAGCAAATGAAGGCATACATGCTGACTTTTGTCTGCTGATTACTGCGAAGGCCCTAGCTATGTTAATTTCATGTCTTGTGACTGTTATGTTATGGTCTATTAAACTTCATCATTTCTTTATGAAATTAGTGTAGAAGTTATCACTGACCTGGTGATGAAACGTTCACAACAAAATATCAAATCTCAGAGAACACCAAATCATCATCATCCTTATTCTGAGCTGCAAATCTTCTCCATCATTTTACAATTAAACGTCTTGATTTTGACAATATTTTTTTAGCAAAATCAACCTTCTGCCCATTGATCGCACCAATCTTTGGAATTAATTATTCACATGTTTGCAGATAGATATCATACACACAGTGTCTTCATTTCGTACGCTAGTCATCTTTTATTCAGCACGACGTTCCACATTATTGACAACTGATCTGCATCATCCTTGCTGCATGTTTTACACGTGAAATAAATGGGAATATGGATTCAATCATCAGCCTCTCATTCTATTTCTTCATATTCAGCTTTACAATGCAAGCATCATTTTGTTAATCAATATCAGAAATTCCAGTTGTGAAAATTGTAGCACGGCATGTAAGCGAACAATATTGTTTTGAATCAGATCTCCTCAAACTTTTCACTAATATGCATAGCTTTTATGATATATTTATAAAATGCAACCGAACCAAGTTAATTTGTCAGTTGGTTGGATGAAGGTAATCAGCAAGAAGCCCTGGACCTTGGTTTTGTGCTTGTTGGCACTCGTTAACATGGCGTATCTGCAGTCTCGACAGAACTGATGTCCTGCTTGAGATTCAGTTTCCTCCAATTGCCTCCACCCAACTAACATCTATTAAAGTACATTGCGATACTGAGCTGTCTACTCTATTGGCCACATTGCAAAATGGTCTATAGAATTCGGTCAGCATATATGACTAGACAACATGAAGTTGTTTACCCTCCAGTGACCGGTAAATGTAATTTTCAGTCACCTACAAAAGGGATCCGAGTATGCATTCTAGAGTAGCGAGAATAATGGTAGCATAAGTAAGTGGTAATACGAATATTGAGAACTGTATGATAGAGTAAACAGGTGTTCAGATGAGTAAGTCAGAGCTTGGAAGAGAACAATAAGGTTGCGTAATGCTTATCAAACGAAGTCAGTGAGAAAACGAAGTTTGAATATGAATATATCTGGGGTTTGGAAGGGGTAAGGAAAAGAAAAATTAAAAGGAGAAGGAAAGCATTTTAAAAATCTATCGGCAAGGCCGTTCATTATTTCTTCCTGACCAAGGCAGAAGTATAGGCTGCACAAATTTCTTGTGAATAGTAAGATTTGAATTGTTCATTCTAATACCTGTACCTGTAGCTGTGCTTGAAATGTAGATTGAATTACAATCGATGAGGTTCTGTGTTCTATGCCAAATC